CTGGAACACATCTTAAAATCACTAAAAATCCTGCAGCTTTTTTTGATCCATGGGACAAGATAACATTAGTTCATAAGCACTCAAAAAGCTGCTTAAACATGATTGAATTTAGTTCTTTTTCATTTTTTCTTCCTTTTCCCAGTAGAAACACTGAAAAACTAATGTAAATGGGTAAGAGATAGTTGTTAGAAAAAAGGATGAAGTAGATTATTGGTCTCTAGAATCACAGACTTACAACTCGAGTTGGAAAGACATACAGCAGTCATCCATCTAGTATCAGGATTGTCAGTCCCCAGGAAAATTGAGAGGGGCATTGCCAGGAGTTTGTGACCGTTGAAATGACCAGCAGTGCCTTGGGAATTTGTTCAGTGAAGAGGGCCCTTGCTCTACTCTTCTGCTTCAAAGTCACTGAGTTTGTCAATAGAAATTGTGTGGACAATTATCTAGCACAATTTCCTGATGTGGGTGGAGATAGAATGGGAGCTACAGGGTCTAAAAACTAAGCAAATGAATGCAACTATTCCAGGTCCAGCTAACCTGTCCTTGGAATTCCCAGAGCAATTGGTGGGTGCCAGTGGAGCAGGAGCTATGAACGCCATCATGGCGACAGCTTGCCAGGGTTGGAATCTGCTTCAACACCTATCACTCGGGTGATCTTGGGCAAGTTCCCTGACCTCTCTGGCTCAAATGCTCAGGGATAATCATAATACCTTTCTCATAGATTTAAAAATTTTCTGTCTTCCCCTGTGAGAATGGAGATTTCATGATAGATAAGTGGGACCTTGTTTGACTTACTCATTGAAATATCCCCAATATACAGTGTCACAAGGGCTGCCTCTCCCTCTTCCTGGATTTTTTTGAAAAATTGCTCAGTGCCTCTCCTAGATTTTTATAATCTGGTCTCACCCTACTGTTTCCTCCGTCTCAAAGTACACGCTTCACCCTCTGGGCTGGTTCTCTTCACCATCCACAGGTCATACTCATCCATTCCTCTGTGCTGTCACAACTGTCCAGGCCCTTGGGAGCAGGTGGACCTGCATGTGAATCCTCCCTCTGATACTCGCCCTCTGGAAGGCCCCTGGGGGACAAGTGATAAACTCTCCTCAGCCACTTCCACATCTCCAACCTGGACTGTTGTCAGCATTTGTTGGCATGTGTTCAAGGCTGTTAGGGGTTGAACTGTGACCTCCCTCCAAAATTCAGATGTTAAAATCCTCACCCCCAGTACCTCAGAATGTAACTGTATTTGCAGATAAGATCTTTAAAGAGGTGATTATGTTAAAATGAGGTCTTTAGAGTGGGCCCTAATCCAATATAACTCGTGTTATATCTGATATGAAGAGGAAATTTGAACACAGACACTAGACATGTGTACATGCAGAAGACAAATACACAGCAAGAAGATGGCCATCTGCAAGCCAAGGAGAGAAGCCTCAGAAGAAAGCACACCAGCATACACCTTGATCTCAGACTTACAGCCTTCAGAACTGTGAGAAAATAAATATCCATTGGTAAAGCTGCGGGGGAGCAGGGGGCTGTGGTATTTTATGGCAGACCTAACAAGCTAACACAAAACCCTGCTACTGGATTTGACATGGGAAAGGCACTCCACAAATGCAGTTCACTGGAAAGCTCTCACTTTTCCACTTGAGTCCTACCCTTTTGTCCCAATGCATGGGTTCTGTCCCTCCCAGTGTCCACAACTGTATAGGCTGAACAAAGCCCTCCCAAAGACATCCTCATAATCCCCAGAACCAGGGAATATGTAACCTTATATAGTAAAAGGGACTTTTGCAGATATGATTAACAATGATCTTGAGATAGGGAGACGATTGTGGTTTACCTAGGGGTGCAATGTGTTAATGATCACAAAGTCTTGAGTAGAGTGAGATGGTTAAAGGCAATAGTGGGAGATGTAACAGAAGCAAGAGACTGGAGTGATGGGGGGAAGGAGCCATGAGCCAGGGAATACAGATCGCCCAAGCTGAAAAAGACAGGGAAGCATATTCTCCTCGGAACCTCCGGAGGAGGCCAGCCCTGTTGACACCTTGACTTTAGCCCAGTGAGACTGATTTCGACTTCTGATCTCCAGAACTGTAAGATAATGCATTTGTGTTGTTTTAAGCCACTAGATTTGTGGGAATTTGTTACAGCAGCAATAAGTAAATGAATAAAACCTATTCCAGCTCTAACTGACCTGCCCTCTGAATTCCCAGAGCACTTAGTGGGTGCCAGCAGAGCAGGAGCTAAGAACACCATCATGTTGACAGCTTGTCAGGGTTGGAATCTGCTCTAGCACCTACCTACCTACCAGTTGGGTGATTTTGGGAAAGTTTCCTGACGTCTCCGTGGCTCAAATACTCAAATAGATATAATCATAATACCTTTCTCTTGGATTTAAAAATGTTCTGTCTTCCCCTGTGAGAATGGAGATTTCATAAGTGGGACCTTGTTTGTCTTATTCATTGAAATATCCCCAATATACCACACTGTAAGCACTCAGTAAACATTTGTAATCTTTGTACATCAGGTGAACTAATGTTAGTTACTTGTCAGACCTGGTGTTAGGTGCAACCATTAGAAATTGTTAATGCTGCTTAACAACATATAAAAAAGTTGACTGTGTGAGGTAACATCATAAAAATTATTCCATGTACATACCATCAAAACTATGTAAGAATGTAGGTAATGCTACTCTCTGCCCACAGGGTGACCTTGCTCTGCAGGAGCAGTCACAGAGCTGTAACACTCAGCGTTAACACTGCCCTTTGGACAAAGCTGTTTTCTTCTATCTCTGGCTTGCCCTTTGCCCTTCTTTCCTGGGCAAAGCCAAGAACCCTTGTGAACTGAGCTCCACTTTGGGGCTCCTTTGCCCTGTATCAATGGTGACACTTATTTCTCAGGGTTAATGTATAGAGACTATGCAACACATTTAATATAGGTGCTGGCATACAGTAACTAATTTTTTTTTTTTTTTCTTAAAGATGGGGTTTCTCCATGATGGCCAGGCTGGTCTTGAACTCCTGACCTCAGGTGATCCACCCACCTCAGCCCCCCAAAGTGCTAGGATTACAGGCGTGAGCCACCGTGCCCAGCTACAGTAACTAATTTTAACTTTAGAAATGAATCAGGCCAGGAATGGTGGCTCATGCCTGTAATCCCAGCACTTTGGGAGGCCAAGGCAGATGGATCACTTGAGGTCAGGAGTTCGAGACCAGACTGGGCAACGTGGTGAAACCGCATTTCTACTAAAAATACGGGAAAAAAATTAGCCAGGCTTGGTAGCACATGCCTGTGATCAATCCAGCTACACAGGAGGGTGAGGCATGAGAATTGCTTTAAACTGGGAAGCAGAGGTTGCAGTAAGCCGAGATCATGCCACTGCACTCCAGCCTGGGCAACAGAGTGAGACTCCCTCTCAAAAAAAATAAAAGTAAGACTGAAGAGTTCAGAACAGCCCATGTGGTGTGGCAGGAGGTACTGAGGCAATTTGTATTCCTTTTATGTAAAAAAATAAAGAAAAAATACATATAGGTAATGAAAGCTAAAGACACAAATGAAAAGGTTATCCACAATATAGGTTGTGAAAATAAGGCTCTGTAATAAAAATTGGTTCTAAATTTCATGTTTTAGGCTAACCTTTGAATGTAGCCTTTAATTCTTCCAGTATGATTTGTACTTTTTAATATTTGCATAATAAAAGTAGAGTTCAAGATAACCTATATGTAACCCCCACAAAAACAGAAGCAAGAGGATTGTTATCATTTTAATAAGCTCTTTCCAAAATTAGGGATAGGATCAAGTACTAGAGGAAGGCTGATAACTATTGCCTCGGACTTCCCTGTCTTCCTTTGGTCGTAATCTTGCCTGCTGTGAAAAAGTAGAGAGCACTAAAGTTAGGATGTCCCTTAGGCTACCAGGAAGTCACACAGTAAAACAGTCATATCCCCATTTCACAATGGAGCCAGCAAAGCTTCTTAACCAATGTCGTCAAAAGGCTTCCTGTAATGTTGGGCAATAAGTCGCCACACTTTGCTCGTTATCAGAACCCTGTGGCAGGAACAGCAACTTTGCTTGCCTACAGGAATTGATCAAGGACATGAAATTGAGAGTTCCCAGGTCCTTCTTTTCGTCCATCTTTAAAAAAATAACCTTTACTGCATTTTTTTCCAAACGCAAAAATAATATACATTGTGGGAAGTCAAGAAAAGCACAAGGGGAAAATAAAAATCGTTTATAACAGCCTTATCCAAATATGTGTACTGCAGAGTGATAGTCTTCTGGATTTTATAGGCATATAAACATTCAAACTTTTTTTTTTTTTTGAGATGGAGATTCACTCTTGTCGCCCAGGCTGGAGTGCAGTGGCACGATCTTGACTCAATGCAACTTCTGCCTCCTGGGTTCAAGTGATTCTCCTGCCTCAGCCTCCTGAGTAGCTGAGATTACAGGCATGTGCCACCATGCCTGGCTAAATTTTGTATTTTTAGTAGAGATGGGGTTTCACCATGCTGGTCAAGCTGATCTCAAACTCCTGACCTCAGGTGATCCACCCACCTCGGCCTCCCAAAATGCTGGGATTACAGGCACGAGCCACCGCCCCCAGCCTGAGGCTCAGTTTTGACATCTTTAAAGTGAGTGTAATACAACTTAGCTCATTAGGTCGGCATAGTAATGTGATAAGACTAAGCCTGTTAAGCACTGTCCTTCCTCTATGTCAATATACGACCTGACACATATAGCACTGTCTCTCTTTCAAATGAAATGTTGCTTTTGTGACATGGTAATTGCCCCATAAACTGCATACCTCAACCATACTTTGAAACTGCTCTCTGTAACCCTAATGTGACCGGCAAGCAGTCCAAACCAATGCCATGTTGGCCCCTGTGACGTATAATAAGTAACTAAGGTCTGTAATTTCCACCCTACCCAGACAATGTATAAACTAATGCTTATCTTGACTTCTGTGAACCACTTAAGTAGCAATCGGAATGTCCAAAGTCCCCTGGCCCTCAGAATGTCAAAAGCCCCTCACCCACACCCCCACCCAGGAGGTGGTTTATGAGCATAAAAGTTCTTGACACCCTCCTTTCAGAGCCACCGGTTAGAGAGACACGAGTCCTCTGTGGCCGCCGGCAATACACACCATGTAATTTGGCCTAGTCTTTGTCTCAGTGGTGATTTTGTGCTCGCTCAGTTACAACACTTTAATAAAATTGGAGTTACACTACACTTCTTTTTTAAAATCTACTTTTTCCACTTAATATTTTCCCATATCGTTAATGCTTTTTTCAAAATATTGGTGCCTATTGGGTGCATAGGTTTTTATCATATGTATGCACTGCAATTTAATTAATCCTGTCATTGAACACATAAGATTTCAATATTTGCATTTTTTCCTTCTCACAAGCAATAGGGCCGTGAATAGATATGTATCATTGGGCATATCAATATTTCCGTAGGAAAAATCCTGGAAGCAGAATGTCTTTGTGTATGTGCATGTACATTTCCAGGGACTAGAGGGTAGGTGTGTGTCAGGCCTCCATGTGCAAGCCCAGACCCAGAAAGTCTGAAGTCCTGTCTACCTCGGCTGATCACCCCCAACCCCCGCCTGCATTTGCCATTATCCCTGATCACCCAGCAGAGCTTCCTCCCCTCCCCCCAACATTAAGCCTGTCACCCCACCCTGCCGTCGTGTGTGTGTGTGTGTGTGTGTGTGTGTGTGTTATGAGAAAAACCCTACCGTCTTAACTGTTATTATGATAATGTGAATACTCCTCACCCCACTCTGCCATCTTAACTGTTCTTGCTCTGCGAATCTCCCTCCGCCCCACCCTACCATCTTAACTACTCTCATGCCTTACCCCACCCACCGTTGTAACTGAACTTACGGTAATGTATACTCCTTGCCCCACCCCCACCACTGTAACTGATCTTACTCCATAACACCCCTGCTCCTCCCCAAAACATTTGCCCCAACCTACAAAACCAACTTCGATCCCATCACCCTCTGATGACACCATTTTCGGCCTCAGCCCACCTGCACCCCGGTGAATAAACAGCCACGTTGCTCACACAAAGCCTGTTTCAGGGGTCTCTTCCTTCAAAGCGGGTGTTTTAACAGTGTGGTGGGTAGAATATGGTGGTGTGCACATTCTAAAGGTTTTGGATACATTTCCTCAAATTACCCTACAGAAAGGTCTATAGCTACTAGCAGTGCATGAGGGCCTCTTTCTCAAAGCTTGGCCGATATGAAGAGATACTATTTTTAAAACCTTGACACATAGGCAAGAATAATATGTTGTTTCACTGACAACTCGGTGATGACTAAAGTAGTTGATCTTTTACCAAGTGTTTATAGAGCATTTTTATTTCTTCTTTGTGAGCTGCCTTCATGTCTGTGCCCATTTGGTTATTGCTGTTGTTGATGTATGCTGCCTCGTTGATTGTATCCCCGGGATCTGATACCCAACATACTTAGACTTGCACTCTCATTTTACAAGATCATCATTTTATTAATTGTAATGAGGCTTTGGATTTTATGCTTTATACTGAGCTATCTCTTCCATGGAGAAGGTAACATATTTAACATTTCTGTAGTTGTGCCAATTAATATGTATTATTCAGACAGTCATCAAACATTTGTTAAACATCTGTGTGCAGGCACAGGCTAGTTGCTGCGAACACGGTTGTTAAAACGCACACTCTGAATGAAAAGACACCCCCAAACAGGCCTTGTGTGAGCAGCATGGCTGTTTATTCACCTGGGTGTGGGCGGGACGAGGCCGAAAAGGGCGTCAGCAAAGGGTGGTGGGATAGGAGTTGGTTTCATAGGTTTGGGGTGGGCAGTGGAAAGTTATAGAAGTTACTTTAGGGCGGTTGTTTGCAAGCTGGGAGGGGGTCGTAGGAGTGACAGGAGGTTGGAAACAATAGAGAATGTCTTAAAATTAAGTAGGTGCTGCAGGGGTTGATCATTTCTTCCTCTTCATGGTCTTCTATTTACTTTAGATTTTCCGGGAACTCATCTGGAGTGTCCATGCAGGTCACAGAGGTTAACATGGTGTCCATGCCACCGTCAGTCAGCCTAAAAGACCTAACATTCCTCTCTTTTTATATTAGTGATATAAAAGAAATGACGGGTGGAGGGCAGTGGAGTATTAGGAAGGCTGGCACAGAGGGGTGATGGGGTGATTTTTCTCAAAGCTTCTTTGAGCAGGATTGGGGGCAGTGTGGAAACCTAAAATGGGAAAGAATTTAGACTGCTGTGAGATCTCAGGGGAAGGGGTGATATTGTGGGGCTGTTAGAAGGAACATTTGTCGTATTCACTAATTGGTTATCGCTTGTAGTATAAGATTTTGTAGGAATTGAGAGATAATCGGAAAACAAGTAAGAGAAGGAGAAATATAGGTATAAGAGGACTAAGGATTGGAAGAAGCTGGGACTCCCAGTTAGAGAGTGTCCAGCCAGTCCAGCCAGCTCCAGAATAACTATGTGCCAGATTACCAAGCCTTTGGGCTCTGTCTTTTAATTTATTCATGGCATCGTATACTAGGCCGGACTGGTTTACATAAAAACAATATTCTTTGTTTAGGAATAGGCAAAGACCTCCTTTTTCAGCAGTCAGTAAATCAAGACCTCTGCGGTTTTGAAGGACAACTGCAGCTATGGAATTTACTTGAACTTGAAGAAGGCATAGTGATTGAGTTAATTCTGCAATGCTAGCAGACAAATTATTAGAGAAGCTACGGAAGATGACGATTGAAGTGGTAAGCCTTGCTATGCCTGTGCCAAGTGCAGTGGTAACCCCACTAGTAAGGGGATGAATGCAATGACCGGCTTTGAAGCAGGAACAGCTGCTAGAAATAGACACCAAACTAGGAAGGAAGGGGTGATGTATCTCCACTGGGAGCAAGGTGGCATAGCTGCCCAACAGCCAAGCTCCTCTAACAAAGGGAATCTCTGCCTCTACAAAGGCTCTCAACTCTAGATATTACGTGTGAAAGTGTCTTGGGTTAGCCGGGCGTGGTGGCTCACACCTGTAATCCTAGCACTTTGGGAGGCTGAGGCGGGTGGATCACCTGAGGTCAGGAGTTCAAGACCAGCCTGACCAACATGGTGAAATCCCGTCTTTAAACAAATAAAATAAAAAAATAAAAATAAAACGAAAGGGTCTCGGGTTTACAACTCTAGAATTTACATGTGAAAGGGTCTTGGGCCATGGAGTAGGGTGGGGTACAGTGACTTCAGTGGGGTTTTTTTTTTTTTTAGAGACGGGGTTTCACAGTCAGGATGGTCTCGATTTCCTGACCTCGTGATCCACCCGCCTCGGCCTCCCAAAGTGCTGGGATTACAGGTGTGATTCAGTGGGGGTTTGATCTTGTTTAAGTAAAAGCAATGCCTTCTGGAAAGATTCCTCCACACCGCGCCTGCGATCTATAGGAAGGTGATTAAGGCAGCACCAGGTCTGCCAGCCTTCACTTCTCCTATTGAAATGCAGTGTGGAAGTCAAGGTGGGGATGGTCTTAGATGCTTCAGGGTGATTAAGGGTCTCCTCCCTCAGCTTGTGTGGTGTCAGGTCCACAAGGGGAACAGAGAGGCTTTCGTTTCCATTGGCAAACTGAATTTGGGGAGTAAGGAAAACTAGGGTACAAGCGCCTGTGCAGTTGTAGGACGGCAGATGTAAGAAGAACCACCGAGGAAAAAAGTCCTTGGCTTAGGCAGAACTGGAAGTGTAAACTGAAAAGGTGAGAAAGTGTTCTGAGGCGGCTGGGGCTTTGGACCCAAATGCCGTGGGAACCAGCAAGGGCTGCCGGGGTTAAGGGTTGCCGTGGGGTTTGGTAGGGTAATGGTGTGGAGGGAGAGCTCTCGTTTTCCTGGTGCATGAGGAAGCGTGTGGTATCCATAAGTAACCACTCACTTTCATTAATGATATTGGGTATGAGCAGACAGGAAGAGGGGTCTGGAGGAGAGTCTGAGGAGCAGGGGAAGGGCAGCCAAGGGTAGAATGAGAGACAGGGGAAATGCCTATCTAGGCAAGACCGGCTATTGATGTTTCTAAGGCTGCTAGTAATAAGGAAGGGCTTTTCTGTAATCGCAGTTCGTATGCTCTTATTTTTTGGTTAACGTGGGTAGTAGGGCTCTTGAGGTGAGGTGTAAAGGAACACAAAGGGGCGGGAGATCGAGTTATGGGGTTCAGGGTTTGTGTCAGGTATTAAATGAGAGGCTGGACTGAAGTCAGGTCCAAGAGCTACTCAGGGGGGTTCAATAAAGAGTGCATAAAGCAAAGAAAAAACAAAATAAAAATATACATTAAAAAAAAGAGTAATAAAGCTGGAGAAGGCAAGGGGCTGAAAGTCAGTGTGTGAGGTGTGAAAAGGAAACTAACCTTTGGAGGTTGTGAGAGCTCTAGAGGGTAAGCGGGGCATAGCCGGCGATTGTGAGGGATTCTAAGAGTATCAGGGCGGCAGCTGCTGCCGCGCGTAGGCATGAGGGCCAGCCCAGGACTGTGAGGTTAAGTTGCTGGATGAAAAGGCTGCAGGCCATGGGCCTGGCTCCTGTGTAAGAATTCCGACAGCACAGCCTTTTATTTCTGCTGTGTAGAGAGAGAAGGGTTGAAAGGAGTTGGGAGTGCTAAAGTGGGAGCAGTCTCTAAGGCCTTTTTAGAGAACAGAAGGAAGAATGGGGAAAGGATTTGGGGTTTATGGGGTTCGCTAAGTTTTTTTGTCAGTTTATAAAGTGGTTGGGTTAGGAGGGCAAAACCTGGTATACAGAGGCAAAAGTGTCCTTCAACTCTGGGAAGGAGGGAAGCTGCTGTTTAGTGGGTGGGGTTGGGGTTTGGGAAAACAACTGGATACGGCTGGCAGGGAGAGCGTGTATATGCTGGCGAAGGATTATAACAGATGGAGAAGAAATTTGGGCTTTAGAAAAAAGCGTTTTTGAGGTTAAGAACAGAATAGTGAATTGTGGAAGGGGGTGTGGAAGACAGGAGGGTGAATTAAAAGGCCCTATTGTAACAGACGGGTGGTAACAGGCTTTAGACCTTTTAAAGCCTGTTATGGGTTGGGGTGCTGGCACTAGGCAGGGTAAGGGTTGTTAGGTTTTAAGGGGATGATGAGGGATGAGTGACTTGGGAGGTGGTGTCTCGCACCCTAAGGTTACGGTAGGGGGACAGAAGGGGAGCTATTGGAGGAGATATGGGTTCAGGGAGGAGAGAAGCAATGAGGTGTGGCTGTAGCCCAGCAGTAGTTAAGGAGGCAGACAATTTTGCTAGGATATCTTGGCCTAACAGGGGAACTGGACACGTGGGGATGATTAGGAAGGAATGTGGAAAGGAGTGCTGGCCTGATTGACAGCAGACTTGGGGAGTTTTGAGAGGCCTGGAGGCCTTGCCGTCAATTCCCACAACAGTTATGCAGGCCAAGGAGACGGGTCCTTGAAAAGAAGGCAGCATGGAGTGGGTGGCCTCCGTGTTGATTAGGAGGGGGATGGATTTACCCTCCTCCACTTGGCATCTGTGATGGTCGAGATGGGACCTCCGAGATGTTTGGGAAGCGTCAGTCTTCAGCCACCAAGCCAAGGGGATCTGGGAAGGATTCGGTCTGGGAGCTTTGGGTTGGAGCTCTGGGAGCAGCGACGTGAGTTGGACAGTCCGACTTCCAGTGGGGTCCCCCACAGACAGGACACGGCTTAGAGGGGGCCTTGGGCTGTGAGCATTCGTTAGCCCCATGTCCAAGCTTTTGGCACTTGAAGCAGGATGGAGCCCCAGGCTGTGGGCACTCACTGGCCCAATGGCTAATTTTCTGTCTGAGCAAGGCTTTCGGGGAAGAGGTCCTGAAGAGAAGCCTTGATGCTGTGGATTTGGTGGTCTGAAACTTCTGCGAGCTGAAGGAGCTGGGGTCTGTCTTACAGCAGAGACAAGCATTTGTAATTCTGAAACATGCTGCCACCTTAAAGGCGAGGTTGATTAAATCCTGTTGTGGGGTTTGAGGGCCGGAGTCTAGCTTTTTGAAGTTTTTTCCTAATATCGGGGGCAGGTTGGGTAATGAAATGCATATTAAGAATAAGGCGACCCTCTGGCCACTTTGGGTCTAGTGCTGTGAAACGTCTAAGAGTTTCTGCTGGGCAGGTCATGAATTGGGCAGGATTTTCATGTTTTCCCTGGGTAGTTTATTTAAGCTTGTCATAATTAACGGCTTTGTAAGCTGCCTGCTTAGGTTCCTCCACTAAGCAAGAGACCATACAGTCATGCTTGGCGATGTCAGGCGAGCCCGTCTGGTACTGCCGTTGGGGTTCTTCCCTAGGTACTGCCCTGACACCCTCTTGGAGGGCGGGCTCATGGTGTCTGCAGGTGTCAGCATAAGACTGAGCCAGGTATAAACCCTATTTTGTTCATCTGGAGAAAGAGTAGAGGTTAGAATGACATTTAAGTCATTCCAGGTTAAGTTGTAGGACTGAGTTAGATATGGGAACTCATGGATATATTTAGGGGGATTTGATTTGATCTAAATAATTATAAACTTGCTGGGCTCAGAGTACACTGAAGTTTATACACTGAACTAAACTATATTATTGGTGCAGTTGATTAGAAATCAAGTGGCAACAGGAGGCCTAAGGTAAAGACCATCGGAGACCGCAGTAACACTGGGGAACACCTCGGGATGGTTGCAGAGCAGGGAACACTGCTGTGGTCCCACGAATGCCTTCTCAACATGGAGACTGTATAAGGGCCTCGTAAAGGGGGCTTATGCAAAGATCTCTGAGAAGGGAGTCGACCTCTGCTCACAAGATCTGGGAGGGTCTTTGCAGATGGGAGCTGGCAAGGAGGAGAAAAGCCTTGCAAGGCAAAGATCACAGAACACCTCAGGCTCTGCCTAGGTTCTCCGAGTATGGAGTGATTTTAATTGCTGTATGTCCTCAGTGCTCGGGAAATAAAAGCCCCTCGATGTATTGGGTGTGGTCAGACCCCCAAGGCTCCTCATCCTGATGCAGCTGTACCTGGTAACTCAGAGTACTAGTTTAGCAAGTCTTGGAAGGATCTCAAGTGCTGTTAAATGCTCAGATCACTAGTTTAGCACTTCTTAGAAGGATCTCAAGTGCTCTCCACCCAGTTATCTTACCTATTCCTTCACCCTCCCCTTCCATGCCCATAAGATCAATGAGATTATGCTCATAATAAAAGTGTTTGGAGCCCAGAGCTCAGGGCCAGCACAGTTCCCATGCTTGTGTTGATCCCCTGGACCCCTGCTATAAATTCTACTCTTGTGTCTCTGTCTTTATTTCCTTTTCTCAATTCCTCATCACTGCCGGGACTGAGGGCGCCCACGTCCGTTGTTGGGGCTGGTTCCCAACAGGGCACGAGTAGGAGGGAAAGGAGAATTTGACAGGGGTCACATTGGGAGCAGAGGCTGGGAAGGGAGCAAAGTGTGAAAAATGCCTGGACTTAGGGGACTTCAGACCATTTGCCCATTTTATGACAAAAGTTGTCTGGATCCTGCAAGATAGAAAAATCGAAGGTACCATTTTCTGGCCATTTAGAGCCATTGTCCAATTTATATTGTGGCCAAGTGGTATTGCAGAAGAAAATAAGATGCTTAGGTTTTAGGTCAGGTGATAGCCGGAGAGGTCTGAGGTTTTTTAGAACACGGGCTAAGGGCGAGGAGGGAGGAATGGAGCGGGGGAGGTTGTCCATAGTTTAAGAAGAGTGAGGAGACAAAGAAAGTGAATGCAAAACCAAGTAGCGTAGCAGGCGCCCCAGACTAAACCTTGGTCTGAACCTGGGGTGAATCGGTCAACAGGGGCGTCCCCCATGTTGATCTGTCACCTGTGAGTGTGAGTGAGTGACTAAAGCCGACATCTCTGCAATGATCAGTCACCAAGGGAAGACTGTCTTCCTGGTTCTGTGACCTATGTAGGATTTTTTCTGGTCATGAACCTCACAAAAGTCCTGTCTTTCTTGTCTTTATTGAAAGGGAGAGGAAAATGAAATTGATAGGAGGAGGTTGACAGGTGGCGAGAAGGTCTAAGAAGAGAGTTGAAGCAAACCGCTTACCTGATCTGAGGGTGGTAAGTGGATGCGCAGGCCGGTCTGATGAGCCTGGGTCATAGGTAGGTCTCTTCATGGAGGGAGCACAAGAACAGGGACAGGGGGTTGGTCTCCCGTAGCAGATCCCCCATCTTGGTTTCCAGCACCAAATGTTAAAACGCGTGCTCTGAATGAAGAGACACCCCCACACACACTCCAAACAGGCTTTGTGTGAGCAACATGGCTATTTATTCACCTGAATGCGGGTGGGCTGAGGCCGAAAAGGGCATCAGCAAAGGGCAGTAGGATAGGAGTTCGTTTATAGGTTTGGGGTGGGCAGCGGAAAGTTACAGAAGTTACTGTAGGTGATTTTTTGCAAGCTGAGAGGGGGTCATAGGGTGTGGAGTCACAAGGTTGGAAACAATAGAGAATGTCTTAAAATTAAGTAGGTGCTGCAGGGGTTGATCATTTCTTCCTCTTCATGGTCTTCTGGTTACTTTAGATTTTCTGGGAGCTCATCTGGAGTGTCCGTGCAGGTCACAGAGGTTAACACGGAGTCCATGCCACCATCAGTCAGCCTAAAAGACCTTACAACAGTGATGAATTGACAGTTTCTATCTTCAAAAAGCTCAGAATCTGGTGTATAGCTTTGGATATTCAGTATGGTAGCCACTAGCTACATGAGGCTATTGGGCACTTGAAATGTGGCTTGTCTACATTGAGATGTTCTGCAAGTATAAAATACGTACCAAATTCCAAAGGCTCAGTATGAAAACAAAATGCAAAATATCTCATTAATAATTTGTTTGTTGATTTCAAGTTGAAATATTTTTATATATCAAATTAAGTCTATTACTAGAATTAATTTTCTATGTTTCTTTTTACTTTTTTTAGGTGGCTAATAGGAAATTTTACATTACATTTATGGCTACCATTATATTTCTGACATAACAATGTATCAGAAATATATGTCATAAAATCTAAATATACATGATACGGTTTGGCTGTGTCCCCACCCAAATCTCATCCTGAATTCCCACATGTTGTGGGAGGAACCCAATGGGAGGTAATTGAGTCATGGGGGCAGGTCTTTCCCATGCTGTTCTCATGATAATGAATAAGTCTTATGAGATCTGATGGCTTCATAAGGAGGAATTCCCCTGCACAAGCTCTCTCTCTCTTTTCCTGCTGCCATCCATGTAAGACGTGACTTGCTCCTCCTTGCCTTCTGCCATGATTGTGAGGCCTCCCTAGCCACATGGAACTGGAAGTCCATTAAACCTTTTTTCCTGAAAATTACCCAGGTATGTTTTTATCAGCAGCATGAAAATTGATTAATACAATATATTTTCTTTATTTCTTTCTGTCTCTCTCTCTCCCCCTTTTTTTTTTTTTTTTTTTTTTTTTTTTTTTTGAGACAGAGTATTACTCTGTCACCCAGGCTGGAGTTCAGTGGCACAATCTCAGCTCACTGCAACCTCTACCTCCTCGGTTCCAGTGATTCTCCTGCCTCACCTTCCCAAATAGCTGGGATTACAGGCACGTGTCACCATGCCTGACTAATTTTTGTATTTTTAGTAGAGACGGAGTTTCACCACGTTGGCCAAGCTGGTCTTGAACTCCTGACCTCAAGTGATCTGCCCTCAAAGTGCTAGTCTCTCAAAGTGCAGGGGTTAAAGGCATGAGCCACTGTGCCTGGCCTCTCTTTCTTTCTCTCTTTTCTTTCTTTTTGTAGAGACAGGGTCTTGCTTTTTTACCCAGGCTGGTCTTGAACTCCTAGGCTCAAGCAATCCTCTTGCCTCAGCCTCCCAAGTTTCTGGGCTTACAGGTATGAGTCACCTCACTCAACATAAATACTTTTTTTTTTTTTTTTTTTTTTCAAATAAAATCTTACACGAAACCCCAACAAGTACATACAGAGGGAAATCAGTCTCCTTAAACTGAGTCTTCCTTTCATTTAGGATTGTCACAGAGCCTAGTTGGAAAACTATCTCTCAGAGATAAGAATGAACATTGAAGTCCATACAGTTACTAACTGACTGACTTAGAGTGAACTATTTTTTTAATTTTTTTGTTTGTTTTTTACTAAAAGGCCTACACCAGGATAGAGTGAACTATTTAAAGCTCTCCAGCCTCAGTTTCTTTATATCTAAAGTGGGGATTATTATATAATATCTACTTCATGCTAGTGTTTTAAGAATTGCATGAGAAAATTATCTAGACTCATGACTTTGTATGTCACCTGTACACTGATTACTCCGAAATGTGTACCTCCAGCCTAAACCTCCCTTTTGAACTTGCACTTGGCACAATTGAATACTGAACTGCCTACTTGATATCTCAAGATGAATGCCAAATAGGCATCTCCAGCTCAACATGTTCAAAATGGAACTCGATCTCATCCTCGAACCTGCTCCTCCCACTCTCCTCACCATCTTAGTAATGGCATCTACTTTTCCTTTTCCTCTGATCAAAACCTTGGAATCAACCATGACTCCTTTTTCCCACATTCCATATTCAAGACATTAGAAAAGCCTGTTGGTTCTACCTTCAAAATACGTGCAAAATCTACTGTTTTTCTACCACCTCCACAGCTGCCACCCTGGCCCAAGTCCGCATCCTCTCCCCACTAGATTAATGCAATAGCCTCCTAACTGGTCTCCCTCCTTCTCCCTTGCCCCTCTTCATGTGTCCTCACCACAGCAGCCAGGCTGATCCTGCTACAGCTGAAGCCAGCGTATGTCATGCCTCTACTCAGAATTCCCCATGCCTCCCCATTTCTCCCAGTGTAAAACCGAAGTCCTTAGCATGATGGAAGGACCCTCAGTGAGGTGGCTCCTGCTGCCTCCTGGCTCCTCTTCTCCTCCCTCCCTCACCAGGGCCACTGCAGCCTTCTGGCCTCATTGGGGTTCCTGAAATACTTCCCCAGTTGTTGCCATGGCTACTCCCTCACCTCCTTCAGTATTTGCCCAACTGTCACCAACTCCGTGAAACCGTTGTCTTCATTTTTGAAAACTTAACACACAATTACACAACTTCTATTTCTCTCTCACTGCTTTATTTTTCTCTGTATTAAAACATGTGAGTCGGGCGCGGTGGCTCAAGCCTGTAATCCCAACACTTTGGGAGGCCGAGGCGGGTGGATCACGAGGTCAAGAGATCGAGACCATCCTGGTCAACAAGGTGAAACCCCGTCTCTACTAAAAATACAAAACATTAGCTGGGCACGGTGGTGCATGCCTGTAATCCCAGCTACTCAGGAGACTGAGGCAGGAGAATTGCCTGAACCCAGGAGGCGGAGGCTGCGGTGAGCCGAGATCGCGCCATTGCACTCCAGCCTGGGTAACAAGAGTGAAACTCCGTCTCAAAAAAAAAAAAAAAAAAAAACAAACATGTGATATGCAGGCATGTGTCACTTACAGATGGAGATACGTTCTGACAAATGTATCATTAGGCGATTTCATCCCTGTGCAAACATTACAGAGTTCACATACACAAACCTAGATGGTCTAGCCTACTACACACCTAGGCTATGTGGTGTAGTCTATTGCCCCTAGGCTACAAACCTGTGCAGCATACTGTACTTCATGCTGTAGGTAATTGTAACACAGTGGTTAAGTATTTGTGTATCTAAACATATTTAAACACAGAAAAGGGCTGTGTGTGGTTGCTCACGCCTGTAATCCCAGCACTTTGGGAGGCCAAGGCAGGAGGATCACTTGAACCCAGAAGTTCAAGACGAGCCCAGGCAACATGACTAAACCCCATCTCTACAAAAAATACAAAAATTAGCCAAGCGTGATGGCACATGCCTGTAGTCCCAGCTACTTGGGAGGCTGAGTGGAGGACTCCTTGAACACGTGAGGTAGAGGCTGCAGTGATGCAGCGATCATGCCACTGCACTCCAATTTGGGGAACAGAGTGAGACCTTGTCTCAAACAAACAAACAAACAGAAAAGGTACAGTGAAAATACAATATCATCCTCTGAGACCACTGTCCTATATGTGGTCCATCACTGACCACAACATCGTTGTGTAGCACAGGCCCATAATTTGTTTTACTTATTTTCCTTGTTGTATGTCCTCAATAACAAGAACCTAACGTCATGAGGGCACAGATGTTTTCTGTTTGGATCATCAATACTTTATTTCCAGTGTCGGGAATAGAGTCTAGCCCATAGTAAGTTCTCAGTAAATATCTGTGGAATGAATCATGTATACAAAGCTTTTAACAGCACAGTATGTGATTCATTGCCTTCAGGCTTTTTTAGCACTCTTTCTTCTCCAAAGGACTTATCTTCCCAGAAACCATCTATTAGGAACTATTCACTTAAGAAGAAGCTGATTTTTAAGGTTCTATTTTAGGAAAACAATTTTAACATTCAGTTTCTAAGCCTGAGTTTCTTAAAATGGTGTCAATTTAGAGGGGTGGGGGGAAGGCAGGGGCAAAAAAAGTGGGGACCTTGTAAAAATGACAGATGAATTTTAAAAGGGATATCTCGCCACCTACAGTGGCTCACACCTGTAATCCCAGCACTTTGGGAGGACGAGGCAGGCGGATCCCTTGAGGTCAGGAGTTCGAGACTAGCGTGGCCAATATGATGAAACCTCATCTCTACTAAAAATACAAAAATTTGCCAGGCGTGGTGGTGTGCACCTGTAATCCCAGCTAGTTGGGAGGCTGAGGAAGGAGAATTACTGGAACCTGGAAAGCAGAGGTTGCAGTGAGCCAAGATTGTGCCACTGCATTTCAGCCTGGGTGACAGAGTGAGACTGTCTCAAAAAATTTAAAAAAAAAAAAAACAATAAAATATAAAGAGATATCATACCACATTAATAAAGTATAAATTCAGTGTAAAGAAATGTATGCAAATGTTAACTAGATTTCTATTTGTTTTCCTAGTAGTTTAAAACTCTTCAACAATCTTAAAAATTCAAGTTAGTAATTATTTTTTTTTCTTAGGCAGCATTGGCATAGCAACAAAATGAAATAATCATGACTTTTACTTCCTTTCTACTTAAGCAACAGAAATATCAACACAGCATCTGTGAAAGAATTATTGGGATCAGAGGTCATGTCCCATTGCAAAAATGCCCCATAAACATAAATTGCTCTCGGTTTACAGCATTTCCCTGAAGAGACGCAAGTGTTAACGTCATAAAGCTTTGCAGCTTTAACACTTATGGAAGTGTTATGGCTTTAATATAAACTTATGGAAGTTTATGGCTCTGATCAGTTACTGCTAAAATACTGCTAAAAATAAACACGGAATGTTCTATTTTATGTATTTTATTTTTTGAGTCAGAGTCTCACTCTGTCGCCCAGTCTGGAGTGCAGTGGCATGATATCAGCTCACTGCAGCCTCTGTCTCCAGGGATCAAGGGATTCTCGTGTCTCAGCCTCCCGTGTAGCTGGGATTACAGGCGCACGCCTCCATGCCTGACTAATTTTTGTATTTTAGTAGAGATGAGGTTTCACCATGTTGGCCAGGCTGTTCTCGAACTCCTGACCTCGGGTGATCTGCCTGCCTTGGCCCCCCAAAATACTGGGATTACAGGCATGAACTACTGTGCCTGGCCAAAATACATACTGAATATTTCAAACAAACCCACTTAAAAACATGTTACAATAAAAAAGTTTTTAGCACAGATTACTAATTGAAAATTGCTAAGATCCTTGACACATGGAAGAATGTAGGGGAAAGGCATACAATTTTGTAATTTTTCCTCATCCATGTATTCATGTTTCTGTTTTTCTTCATTCTGTTTTTAGCTGGTCTTTATGTGTGCATAGATAGGCTCTCCTTTAAAATAAAATGTGAATGGAAGTTACACTAACATATGAGAACATGTTCCAAGGAGCTGGAACAGCAAGTGCAAAAACCTTGACAGAGGGATGAATGAAGAAGATTCAAGTAACAAGAAGGCCAGATTTCTAGTCTTGTTTCCATAGTCCATAGCCATTCCACATTATAGCAAATGGTGGTAAAGATGTGGAGTAACTGGAACTCTTATACGTTGCCAAGAGATATGCAAAATGGTATTGTCACTTTGGAAAACAGTTTGGCAATTTTTTTTTTCTAAGACAGAGTCTCACTCTGTCACCCAGGCTGGTGTGCAGTGGCGTGATCTTGGCTCACTGCAACCTCCACCTCCCGGGTTCAAGCAATTCTCCTGCCTCAGCCTCCTGAGTAGCGGAACCATAGGTGCCTGTCACCATGCCTGGCTAATTTTTGTGTTTTTAGTAGAGACGGAGTTTCACCATGTTGACCAGGTTGGTCTTGAACTCCTGGCCTCAAGTGATTCGCCCACCTTGGCCTCCCAAAGTGCTGTGATTACAGGGGTTAGCCACTGTGCATCGCCTGGTTTGGCAATTTCTTATCATTGACTATGCATTGAGTATATGACCCAGCAAAATCACTCCTAGGTATTTACCCATGAGGAAAGAAAACTTATGTTCAAACAAAAACCTGTCCATGAATGTTAATAATAATTTGACTCATTATAATCCCAAATTGGAAAAAAAAATTAATGTCCTTCAACTGGCATAAGGATAAACAAAATATGGTACATCTGTAATGAAATACTATGCAGGAATAAAGAGGAACAGACAGCTGATATATGTAGTAAAATGCATGAGTCTCAAATGCTAGGTGAAGGAAGGCAGACCCAAAAAACTATGTACTACATGATTCCATTTGTGTGATAATCTGAAAAAAGCAAAAGTATAAGGACAGAAAACAGATCAGTGGCTGCCAGGGACTGGAGGTCAGAGGAGTGTCTGACTACAAAAGGGAAGGTGGAGATTTTGAAGGAGGATGGAACTGTTCTATATCTTGACTGCAATGGTTTTACATAGTTATAGGCATTTGCCAAAACTCTTAGGATTGTACCCACACATAAAAGGTGAATTTTACTGTATGCTAACTATACCTCAATTTTTAAAAAAATGAATGGAAGTCATTTTTACCAAGTTAGGTGAGAATAATCAAAACACAATCATATTGTTGCCATCCTAATTAAGTTAGGGGCTAAAATTTAATTGCTGTAGATATGCCTGCGTATGGAGTTGTGTTCTGGGAAAACCAACTCTTTTCTGACATCTACAGTCCTTCAGTTAATCAGTATTTATCAAGTATCTGTTATAAGCCATACAGTATTCTAGGTTCTGAGGACACCTCAATGAATGAGACATGTCCCTGCCTTCTTGGAACTGCATTTCAGTAATAAGTGGATAACTCTGTAGGTAAATAAATATACATGCTACTTTAAATAATATAACATAGTGGTAAGTTGTTATAAAGAAAACTACAGCCTGGTGAAAGAGAGCTATAGGGAAAGAAGGCTATTTTTGATAGCGTGCCAAGGAAGGATTTCTGATTAACAGTTGAACAGAGGTTTAATTGATGTGTTGGAGGGAGCTATGTGAATAACTGGTGGAAGAGAGTTCCAAAAGAAAGGCAAGTGTATCAGCCTTGAAACAGGGATGAACCAAGCAGATTCATTCATATGAGCACACTTACTAGAGAACTTTCCTGTCACAACATGGAAGAGGGACTCCAAAGTCTTAGGGAGATAGGCAGGTAGGGCTGGATTTACCATGTGCAACCTGCACGGCCACCCCCCAGCATATTCCAGGAAAACAACCAGGTGTATTTACCAACAGGGCAGCAGGAACATATTGCTAACCAGTTGGCTTAGCTCACAAAGATCTTTGGTGGTAATTGATCACAGCGTTCCTAGCAACAAAATGAGTCGGTAGCCAAAAATGTAGCTTGCATCATTATAGTGGAAATTCCGCCTTTTACCTAGTTTTCGGGCTTAATGAATTTATAGATGCAGAGGGTCTTGATTGAAGAATGTCTCTGGTGGTCCACCCTAACCAGAGCCATGTTGGCAGGAGAATTCTGGGACATGTAGTTCAGTCTAGCCAAGTTGACAATTATAAAGCCACCACTCCTAAGGAAGGCAGGATTTGACCATAGGTGGTCAGGAGTCACAGCCTCCACTCTTGACTGATACTCTATTTTACTTCCTTGGGGCATAAGGTGAAAAAACCCCAACCCTGGTCTGGAAGGCCTGGAACTCCAGCTGACACCCGCCACAGTGTGAGTGATGAGGGAAGCACAAGGCGACTAAATCCAGTGGCAAATCTATCATTTGAGGGGCGATGATTATGTTGTCTTTTCTCCTCTGAGAAAAGAGGCTTCTAGGAAGCTGTACCTGGTGCCTGTTTGTTCAAGAGGCTACCGCACTACTGATAAACTCAGACCTTCCTAGGGGGCAGGCAAGGCCTACTTATCCCTCAGCTAGGGCAACCGAGCCTCCTGGTTTGCCAGGGCATAGGAGTTTCTGCACTCAACTATGAAAATCCCAGGCAAACCAGCACCTCCAGAACCCAGCAATCCAGCCACCACTCAGCTGCTGCATTGTTTGGAAGGAAGGACAACAAAATAGCACGATGATTTGCTCAGATTTTATCTTTACTATTTTGAATCTATTAAACAGACGAGGGAGACTTTTGGCTCTACTTCAGGATAGAATCACATGTGTTAATGTAAGTGTAACTCTTTTTGTAAAGCATACCTAC